GACATCACTGAATCCACTGTTGCTCCGCCCACTGACAGCACTGCATCTGCTGTTGCTCCGCCCACTGACAGCACCGCATCCGCTGTTGCTCCACCCACTGACAGCGCTGCATCAGCTACAGCCCCGCCCACTGAAGCCGCCAATGAGCCAGTGGACTTGACATCAGAAGAGGTGGAGACTGAGACGGTGACTCCGCCCACTGCACCTGAAATGAAACACACCATGATGATACGTTTTAGACACGCCATGTGGAGTTTGCTCTGAGGTTAGCATCTGAAGCTAAAGCACTTAATGATGGGAGAATGGGCGGGGCTTTCCCCCTCTGATGACATCATGCAAAGGGAGAATGTCAATCAAAGATTTTCTGCAGACAGTTTTGATCAAGTCTGACTGGAACAAACACAATTCAGTACTGTTGACCATTACACACACACACACACACACACACACACACACACATTGCTGGGGTTAAGCACCGCATTAAAGGCTTTTCGGTATAATAGGAGCTCTGTAAAGTGAGGCTGAGGTCCTCTATATACTGAAGGTCCCTCCTGTGCTGTATTAATGTCCTGACCTGATGATGCTGCAGCCGCTCCTCCGTCCACCAGCTTCAGCTTCGCGGAGTGTGTGTTGGACGGCACCAGCGCCACCCGCATGTCTCCGGCGGCCGCCAGCAGCTGTTTGTAGGTGTGTATCTCGCTCTCCAGCTGGACTTTGGTGCTGAGCAGCTGCTGGTAGTCTCGGCTCTGCTGGATGGCGCTCTCCCGCACCGAGGACAGCTCCTCCTCCAGACCCGCAGCCAGGTGAGCCAGAGACTGCAGCTGGGTCTGATACTGAGCCTGGACCTCCAGCGCACGCTGATCCAGACTGCCCTTCTGCACACACACACACACACACAGATTTCATTTTATTCATTCATTTTTTTTTCAGCTTAGTCCCTTTATTAATCAGGGGGTCACCACAGTGGAATGAACCGCCAACTTTTCCAGCATATGTTTTACACAGCGGATGCCCTTCCAGCTGCAACCCAGCACTGGGAAATAGATTTCATTCTCATTTATTTTTGCTCATTAAAGGACGTGTGGTGTTTTGAAATGTGTTTTTATTTGATGTTTGGCGTAACTTCAACTGAAACATGGAGAGAGGGCGGGGCAAAGTGTAGCCCCTCCCTCTTTTGAAAAAACAGCCAATAACGTGTTGGTTTTCTCACAGCTCTGCCAGTGAGAGTGGTTGAGCTCAAGCACATCAGTGAGCAGCCAATGAGAAGAAGAGGGCGGGGCATGTCAGATACTGTTCAGTGTGTGTGTGTGTAAATATGTGTGTGAGTCTGTTGGTGTCTGTTCAGTGAGTGTGTAAGTGTTTGTGTTTTCAGTGTGTGTGTGTGTGTGTGTGTGTGTTCATTGTGTGTATTGGTGTGTGTTTGTTCAGTGTGTGTATTGGTGCATTTTCAATGTGTGTATGTTGGTGTTTGTTTTCAGTGTGTGTGTGTGTGTGTGTTTTTTTTTAGTGTGTGTTAATTTTGTGTTTGTTCAGTTTGTGTGTACTGGTGTGTGTTTTCAATGTGTATGTGTGTTTTTAGTGTGTGTGTGTGTGTGTGTAAATGTGTGTTGGTGTGTATTTTCAGTGTGTGTTCATTGTGTGTGTGTTTAATGTGCATGTGGTCAGTGTGTGTGCATCCGTGTTGGTGTGCATTTCTTTTGTACGTGTGTTCAGTCTGCACGTGTTCAGTGTGTGTGTATGTTAGAGTGTTTTTAGTGTGTGGGTGTGTTCAGTGTGCGTGTGTGTGTGTGAGTGTTGGTGTGTGTTTTCAGTGAGTGTTCATGTGTTCAGTGTGTGTGTATGTTGGTGTGTGTTTTCAGTGTGTGTGTGTATGTTGGTGTGTGTTTTCAGTGTGTGTGTTTTCAGTGTGTGTATGTTGGTGTGTGTTTTCAGTGTGTGTGTGTGTGTGT